GTGCAGCTCAAAAATACCTAGAAAAACCAACATTCTGACTGTGAGCGGGGTCGCCTCTCCACAGATCTGACCTGGAACTTGGTCTGGTTTGGTCTGCATGAAAATAGACAGGTTTAATGCCATACTGTGAAACATTCCAGACAAAGCAATAACAACTCCGTGAAGAAAAGCATGTGACAGACTCTCCACCAGAAAAATGACCCAGTGCACCTTTAACTTCTCTCATTCTCATTTAAAAAGTTACACTTGTTTTATTGCTCAAAAACACCCTGAAAAACAAACATTCGAACTGTTAAAGGACTCGACCCTCCACAGATCTAACGTGTAACATGGATACCTGCTTCTGCTTGTTTCTATGGAGATAGTTAGATATGTTTAATGCCATACAGGGGAACATTTCAGGTAAAGCAACATCTCCATGGAGAAAAGTTACAGTGCATCTTTAAATAGATGAACTTAAAGATGCATTGTGTAACTTTTCTGGTGAAGGGTCTGTCAAATGCTTTTCTCCATGCAGATGTTATTACTTTGTCTTAAATGTTTCACATTATGGCATTAAACCTTTGTATCTTCATGGAGACCAGATTAGACCAAGTTACAGGTCAGATCTGTGGAGAGGCGACACCGCTCACAGTCAAAATGTCTGATTTTCTAGGTATTTTTGAGCCATAAAACCACCTGTAATTAAATAAACATAAGGTAAAAATGTTTAATGTCACACTGTGGAACATTCTAAACAGAACAATGACATCACCATAGAAACAAGCAGTGTTGGGGAGTAACAGATTACATGTACTGGAGTTACATAATCAGAGTACAAATTATGAGTAACTGTATTCAGTTACAGTTACTGTTTCAGTGAGTGGTAATTGGATTACAGTTACTTTGTTGAAATAAATGAGATTACACGGCGGTATTTTCCTGTTTTCACATTTTGGGCTATATCCCTTTCTTTTTTCTTTTTTTTTTTAACCAAGTCTAAACCAGGAATAATTCAGGATTGAACCAGAACTGAACCCAGGACTAAAACCAGGTCTAAACTAGATCTAAACCAGGACTAAACTAGATCTAAACCAGGACTAAAACAGTTTTTAACAGGACTAAATCCTGCCGTGTGGACGTGTCTCCTCGTCTTCTATCAATAATATTTTTTAATTTGGTTAAGTAAAGTCTGGGCTTTTTATTTTCTTTTAGCAGAAAAAAAACATTTTATGTGAAGATTTCCTCGTCTTTGCTTCTCTACAGAAAATCAAGTAATCCAAAGTATTCAGATTACATTACTCACTTTAAGTAATTTAATGGATTACATTACAAACTACATTTTGGGGTATGTAATCTGTAATTTGTAAGGGAATACATTTTAAAAGTCACCTTCCCAACACTGGAAACAAGAAGGTGACAGACCCCCAACCAAAAAGTCACACAGTGCAACTTTAATGTTTTTTCTTGTTTTTGTTCAGCATGTATGTATAGATTTTTTTACACTAAAATAAAACACTTAAATTAGAATTCTTATTTGATATTATCTTTCTTTCACCTCTGTACTTTCCAGGTTGATGCAAGATCAGCTGCTGTATTTGCAACCTTATCAATAAAGTTAGAAGAAAAAAAAAAAAAAAGGAGTCAGTCAGCAGCTCCAGCGTGTCTTTGGCCCAGTTGGAAGGGAAACTACAGCACGAGTTATTACACGATATGAAAACAGGCCAGCTTTTCTTCTGTTTTTTTTTTTTTTCCTTCTCCTGCTTAGAGTCTGTCATGTGATTCCCCGTAGGCACAGTCTCAAGGGCAATGACAAAGCAATATTTCAAAAGACAGGCCTGATGCAACCTCTGTCTTATGTAGTAAATGACACAAATGAATTTAAACGAAATAAAAACAAACAAAAAATGTATACATAAACGCGAGGAAAAAATTTTGATGTTTCATAACAAAACCATCTGATGTAACAACCTACAGACAAATAAATACATAGAAAGAAAGAAAGAAAGAAAAAGGTGCAATAAGGTGCAACAAGTCTGTGAAGGCAGAAACAAAAGAAAAAGTGCAATACTAGAATACAAAACAACTACTATTCATTAAAAACAGTATGAGTAAATAAGTAAACAAACAAATGAATAAATAAATGTTGTTTCTGTACTTTGAATTGAACACACACTCATGTTGTAACCAGAATATTATTTACTTAAAATCAAGAAATACATAAATACATGAAAAAAACAACAACAATATGCAGAGAACTGGTGAAAAGTGCAATCATGCAATACAAAAACATCTACTGTAACCACCACATGATATGACTGCAAATACACAAATAAACAAGCAAACACACAAAATGAACACATAAAAATAAATAAATCATGTAAATACAAGTCTGTGAAGGCAGAGGCAAAAGAAAAAGTGCAATAATAGAATACAAAACCACCTGTTATAACTACTATTCATCAAAAACTATCTAAGTAAATAAACAAACAAATTAATAAATATTCTTTCTGTACTTTGAATTGGACATAAACACCAGAATATTATTTACTCCAAATCAAGAAATACATACATAAATGAAAAGTGCCATCAAAGCACAGAGAACTAGTGAAAAGTGCAATAATACAATACAAAAACATCTATTGTAACCACCATATTATAATGCTACAAATACATGAATAAACAAGCAAACAAACAAAATTAATCAATAAAAATCAATAATGTTCTTTCTGTTTGAACTGGACAGGTGCAACACATCTGTGAAGGCAGAGGCAAAAGAAAAAGTGCAATACTAGAATACAAAACCACCTGTTATAACTACTATTCATCAAAAACTGTCTAAGTAAATAAACAAACAAATTAATTAAAAAAATGTTATTTCTGTACTTTGAATTGGACACAAACACCAGAATATTATTTACTCCAAATAAAGAAATACATAAATAAATGAAAAAAACTTGGAGCTGGACAGTGCGCAGAGAACTGGTGAAAAGTGCAATACTGTTTTGCTTTTTACCTGTTCTAGTCACCAAAATATTTACAGCAAATAAATGAATAAATAAAAACTCCAAAATATTTTTCAACTTTGAACTGGACAGGTGCTCTTTGTCTTGTCCTTGTCATAGTGCAAATAATTGGTGAAAAGTGCAATACTAAACTAAGCAGACACCTGTAACCAGCTGTTTATTTACTTTACTTTAATAAATATTGTTCATTCTATTATTTGAAGTGATCAGGTGCAATACTAGAATACAAAAAACACTTAAAAAACTACAACCTCACGCTGTTTTGAACTGGACAGATGCAACAGGTCTGTGGAACTGAAAAGTGCAATACTACTATGCAAAAAAAAACACCTCCTATTCATTACAAACAGCCCGAGTATATAAATAATCAATTGAATAAATAAAAGCTCTTTCTATACTTTGACAGATGCGACTTGTCCGACCTGACACAGAAAAGTGTTGAAAAGCGAGCAGTGTGAATGAAGCTACAGAGCCAGAGCTGCTGAGCGAAGCAGAATCCAGAGGGGTGGGTTAGGGATTATTGTTGCGAGGTGGCACAGGGGCCAGCGGGGGCAGCGTGACCCCGACCTCCGCACGTGACCCGCCTTTACAATCACCCGCTGAAGGTTCATGCTGCTTTTAAAAGGAAAGTACACTGCTTTTTACTCAGGGTGTGTCAGGTGCATGGACTGAGATAGAGTGTGTAAAGAAGTGGACTAAAGGAGCGTGACGTCACCTACAGCGCATGGATCCAGTCAAATGAAGCTCAGCGAGGCAGGAAGGTTATACGAGTGAATTTAAAGACAGGTTTCATGTTAGGAATATATGAACAAACTTTTTAAGATCAAAATGAGGAGGTTGACAGCAGCAGTTACAGACAGAAAGTTGACAATTTTTCAGTATAAAGTCAATTGGAGCCAGAGTTGATGGAACCGTAAACTTGCGGGTTAAGGATGTAGAGATGGATAACCAGTGTTGGGGAGTAACAGATTACATGTGCTAGCATTACATAATCAGAGTACAAATTATGAGTAACTGTATTCAGTTACAGTTACTGTTTCAATGAGTGGTAATTGGATTACAGTTACTTTGTTGAAATAAATGGATTACATGGAGGTATTTTCCTGTTTTCACATTTTGGGCTAAACCAGGACTAAACCAGGTCTACACCAGGTCTAAACCAGGACTAAACCAGGTCTAAACCAGGTCTAAACCAGGACTAAACCAGGTCTAAACCAGGACTAAACCAGGTCTAAACCAGGTCTAAACCAGGTAAACCAGGTCTAAACCAGGACTAAACCAGGACTAAACCAGGTCTCTAAACCAGGACTAAACCAGGACTAAACCCTAAACCAGGTCTAAACCAGGTCTAAACCAGGACTAAACCAGGACTAAACCAGGACTAAACCAGGACTAAACCAGGACTAAACCAGGTCTAAACCAGGTCTAAACCAGGACTAAACCAGGACTAAACCAGGTCTAAACCAGGATCTAAACCAGGTCTAAACCAGGACTAAACCAGGTCTAAACCAGGACTAAACTAGGACTAAACTAGGATTTAACAGGACTAAACCATGCCTTGTGGACCGTGTCCCCTCATCTTCTATCAATCATATTTAAATTTGGTTCAGTAAAGTCTGGGCTTTTTATTTTCTTTTAGCAGACAAAACATCTTAAGTGAAGATTTCCTCGTCTTTGCTACTTTACAGCAAATCATGTAATCCAAAGTATTCAGATTATGTTACTCACCTAAAGTCATTTAATGGATTATGTTACAAACTACATTTTGGGGTATGTAATCTGTAATCTGTAGGGGAATACATTTTAAAAGTAACCTTCCCAACACTGTTTGTCCTTTACATCTGATGTGTTGGTGGGTGTTATAGTCACTGTAGGCATGCTCTGTCTGACCTCTACAACACTTGACAACACTACACACATTATATTACATAATTCTAGCCTCATGTTCTCGCTTACCAAATATTGTTATGCTCAGAAACAATACAAGAGAGTAAATTCTGGTCCAAAAATACTCATTTATTGACAGCAAATACATGTGTCAGAATTCAGATTTCGCAAATAGTTAAATGTAAAAAATGCAACATAAATATACTTAAATACCATTAGAAATAACTTAAATTGTAACAAAAGAACTATGTGTATAATAATAATATTAATAATAATAATAATAATAATAATTGCGTCAAGAAACAGTCCATATAGGGAAAAAAACACAGAATGTCTTCACTGGATGCATAGCCCTTCCCTTCTTAAATTACAATAATAACATTAACAATCAAACGATGCAATGTCCAGTGTTTCGCAAGTGCTTTATTTAGTGAGAGAAAGAGGGGCCAGACTTTCAGGGCCCCTCGTTTTTTTTATTTGTTTTGCGTTTCCCCCGGCAACCATCACACGACCCGTCCGTCCTTCTGTACAGTGTCCGGTTTGAAAAAGGCACGCTCGCTCCTCCCGCCATCTCAACTACGGTGGCTGACGGACCCCAAATCTAGCAGAGATCCGTCAAGTTTGCTTTTTTTAATCACATTTTCCTTGTTTCTCCATTTCAGCTCGGCGTGGGATTTGATCTTTGTAGCGGTAAAGTGTCTGTTACCGCGCTGTTCTCTGGAGGACAGTTAATAATTCGAACATGTCCAGCTTGGTCTTTTTGAAGGTGAGTTTCATCGATCGGGGAGGTTAATTATAGGCACCCATTGGTCCATGCAGCGGCTCTCTCTGCAGAAACGGTTGACCTTGCTAAGCGCTGGGTCCTTCCATGTGTTTGAATGTGGACTCTGGAACAATAAAGAGAAAAAAGAAAAAAGACATTAGTTTCCCATATCCCGTGCCAGAGGTATTTCCCTGTATTTAAATTCCATTGAAGTCATAAAGGGGTGGAGACGGCGCATGTCCTGACAAGTTCTAGAGGGAATATGAGTTTCAGTCATGTGTCTGTGTTGTAACTGCTTTACAACGGCCGCTTCCAGGATTTGATTTTCAGAGGAAAGGTTGAGCAAGTTTCCAAATGTGGGTTATATTAGGGGAATGCAAATACCCTTACGGCCGGCAAAGTGGGATTTCACAAACAGATCTCTGTGTTCTATTAATTTGTTACACTGTTGTTCTTTTTCTGTTTAAAGCTACAAGGTCAAACAGCACAGACTATTTTTGGACCCTTTTGTGAAACCTAACCCCCGAGACCCTGCACTTAAAACAACTGAACTGAAGATAATATGCTTTATCTCAATCTTTCAGACAAACAGTTCATAAATTACAATCTTAGCAATCTTTGGTTCTTTTATAGTTGTGTTTAGTCCGGGTTTGAGCCTTTTAGTTGTGTTCTAGTTCTGCTTTAGTCCAGGTTGAATCACAGTTTTTATACACAAGCATGAACGCACTCAACATGACCTCAACATGACCTCAACATGACCTCAACGTGACCTCAACGTGACCTCAAAATGACCTCAAATTCTACATTTTAAACAGTGAACCATTGTATTACTTTTGGATATCTGAGCAATAGGGCTGTACTTCTTTAGTTAAGTCGACAGAAAGGAGAAGTTAATGAGTGAGTGAGCTTAAGATTTGGTATTTATATCTAAAAAGGCTGATCAAACTCATGATTCACTAGTTCAATGAGCTTTTCAATAAAAACAGTTTCCTAGGACTCCTTTTTAGTCAACTAAGCAATCAGCAGGAAATGTCTTTAGTCGACTAAACATGTTTTTAGTCAACTAAAACTCAGAAATGTCAAGAAATCATAACTTATAACTCAACTCCCAGTATTAAACCAGTGTCCCCCATTCTCTGTTTCTTTACCCCATCAGTTCAAAACTTCGCTCCTCACCGTGACCAGGACGCAGTGTAGGTCCAGGGGCTCTCCTCCGCTCTGCCTCCCCCTCTCCGGGCCTCCTCCCCCGCACAGGATCTGGGCCAGACGCTGTGTGTTGTTCACTCGCAGGATGTTGATGTCGTTTTCGCAGCAGAAGGCCTGAATCAGGGTGAAGTGAATCTGGAGCGCCACGTCTTTCACATCCTCGCCGTCCGTGGCCAGGATGCACAGAACCACATTATCTGGGTCTCTGTGACAGGAAAACAAAAGGAGAAATTGGGGTTAATAATAGGTACCTGACCTATAACATGGTTTGGTTTGGTTGAAGATAAAAAGGTTTATTACCATACTGTGAAACATTCTAAACAAAGCAATAACATCTCCATGGAGAAAAGTATATGACGAACTTTCCACCAGAAAAGTTACACAATGCGCCTATAAATAGATCAAACTTTACTTTTGCCTTATGATGCCAAAGGGTTACATTCACTGTTTGCATCCACACCCGAAATCTGATCATTATCTGATTTCTGGAGTGATCAGATTACTGAAATGTCATGTTAACTGTTAGATCTAGTGTGAGTATTCTGACTTTTTTCTGACTGTTTTGACTAAATAAAAAGTGACAAAAAAGGGGTAAACTAATATGACAAAGGGAAACAACTTAAAGATTGAAAGAGCTATTAAAAAGTTAGTCTGAAATCCATTTTATTCACTAATTATCAAGTCATTTTATAATTACTGGCCATGTAAATGTACCCACTATTATCATTTTTATTTGTATTTTTTATCATATTGATTAATGCACAACTTCTCTCATGCATTATCCTATTGTCTTATCTACACCGCAGCAGCAAAACCACCATCCTCCACAACCTTTCCTCTTCCCCAACACCAGCTCTATCCCACTCTCCCATCATTGCATTTCTACTGCTTCAAAGTTAGGAACAAAATAACATCGGATGACGTAAAGAATGTTTGAATAAATAAAGTCGTGCGTATTTAGACTGAACTGGAGTAGCCACGAAAAATGTCTGTTTGTGCTAATACTTGAGGTCACACACGCACCGGGTTATGCAACAGTTCTGTTTTTGTATACTTACACATTGAGCGATTTGGCAGCTTCGTAGACCCCAACCGTGATACAGCCCTGTGGCAAAGCCGATGTGAGCACTTCCTCCAAAGCTTTGGCAACTGAATCCATTCTACAAACAAAACATGAAGAGTTATTTAGTATGTGGAAGTTAAAATGTGCATGTTGGTAACTTGCACAAAATAGCTGTATCTTGTATCTTCTTTTTGGGCCTAACCTTGACTCAAATCTGCACTGATTGTTTCACTCTCAACAACTCATTTCTTACGTAATAGTAGCTCACTGTGCTGCTTGATCATGACTCAGAGAAAAGCAGGGGACTTTGGATTTTAAAATAGCCACCACTACTATGATTCAGAAGATGTTCATAGTTTGTAGACAGTATTTTAGTATGCAGCAGACAAAATGACTAATTTAAATCTATTTATAATTCATTTCAAAATTTTTAATCCCTAAAATAAATAAACTAAAAGAATAGATTATCAACATTTCATCTTCAGTCTCTCAAATATAGATCATTACAAGGTCTATTTTGTGGAAAATGTTCAAAGTTGATTTTTTAAAAGTAATGCATGATCAAATATAACTTTTAAACAAATTTGGCCATAGCTCCCTTGATGTTAATGCAGTCCTAAAGTGCATAATAAAACATATTATTATGCTATTTAAAGATATTTACTGCATTGAAAAAGCAG